GGCAGTTTTATAATGTGCAAATAGGTTTTCCTTGGCCAAATAGGCTGGAAAAACCTGGGTTAACCAAAGCTCCGTAGGAATTCTTAGAGCTATTAAAATGCTGGAGCTCAGCAGGAGGGTTGTGGGATGTGTTCTGTCTTTCTCCCTCCCCTCCCTGGCCCTCCCCTTTCCTTTTGTTCATTTTTATTGAAAAGGCATATTTACAGAGAGGAGACATAGATAGGCCTTCTGTGCATTGGTTCACTCCCCGAGTGGCCTCAAAGGCCAGATCTGAGCTTCTTCTGGGTCTCCCATGCAAGTGCAGGGTGCCAAGGCTTTGGGCCATCCTCTGCTGCTTTCCTGGGGCACAAGCAGAGGAGCCCAATGGGAAGTGGAGCATCTGGAACATGAGCTGGCACCCATATGGGATCCTTGCGTTTGCATGAGGTGGATTAGCCAATTGAACCATAGCTCCAGGCCCAGGATGTATTATTTTCTATGTGTGTGTGTGTGTTTATTTTAAAGATTTATTTATTTACAGGAACGTCAGATGTACAGAGAGGAGGAGAGACAGAGAGGAAGATCTTCCCTCCGATGATTCACTCCCCAAGTGAGCTCAATGGCTGGTGCTGTGCCGATCCAAAGCCAGGAGCCAGGAACTTCTTCTGGGTATCCCACACGGGTGCAGGGTCCCAAGGCCTTGGGCCATCCTCAGCTGCTTTCCCAGGCCACAAGCAGGGAGCTGGATGGGAAGTGGGGCTGCGGGGATTAGAACTGGCTCCCATATGGGATCCCGGCATGTTCAAGGCGAGGACTTTAGCTGCTAGGCCATGCCGCTGGGCCCTATTTTCTATGTTTTGATGAACACAAAACTTTTAATTTTTCACTGAGCTTTAAAAAATACTAGTGTTCTGGAGAAATTTTGGAGACATCTGGTAAAATGTGTTGATCTTCCCTTCAGATCATGTATAAATGTTGATAGAGTATTATATATTACCAGCAAACCTTGGTGGCTGCTTTCCTCAACTTAGTATGAAAATAAAAGCCTCAAAATTGGTTATATACAGAGAAGTTTTATTTGTAAAGTAAGCATTGAATGTGACAAGAAGGAAGGGGAAAGTGCCTCCCAAGAAGGATCTGAGCAGTGGGGAGCCTCATCAGAAGAGAGGGAAGGCCCTGCGCAGTAGCCTCATGGCTAAAGTCCTTGTCTTGCATGTGCCGGGATTCCATATGGGCGCCGGTTTTAGCAGCCCCGCTTCCCATCCAGCTCCCTGCTTGTGGCCTGGGAAAGCAGTCCAGGACAGCCCAAAGCGTTGGAACCCTGCACCTGAGTGTGGGAGACCTGGAAGAAGCTCCTGGCTTCAGATCAGCACAGTTCCCAGCTGTTGTGGTCACTTGGGCAGTGAATCAATCAACGGAAGATCTTTTTCTCTGTCTTTCCTTCTCTCTGTATATATGACTGTCCAATAAAAATAAATCTTTGAAGAAAAGAGAGAGAGAGAGAGAGAGGGAAAGACATTGGTGTTTTAGGAAGTGGCCTGGGATATTAAGCATTCCCTGACTCCTGCTAGTCTGGGCAGGAACGTGCAGGGAAGACTTTCCCCATGGGTGGTCTCTCAACCAATTTAGAGATTACTGTGCAGTTCCTGTGATTCCCACCCGAAAGTGTGGCTTCCTGGCCAGGATTTTAGCGGGCTTGGACAGTCTCATTATATAGAACCATTCAAGTTTTTATATGGACTTTAAAAAACCCACTGTATTCATAGACATTCATTGTGGTGGAGTAGTGTTCTAGCTGGCTCCTTGATGCATTTATCTTGTTGTGGATGGTGATTAGGTTCCAAGAAGTTCACTTAATTTATAGTGGACACAAGGTGTGTTTGTGTTAAACGGTACCTAACCAACATTGATGCTATATCCATGATGAAAGGTTCTGTAATTTCTAGCTTGGAAAGCCTGGAGCCAAGTCTCTCTGGGTATGAAAATGATGCATTTTTTTTCTGGTTCCTTCTAAGTTGCTATTTGGTGGCATCTATGTAAAGATGCTTCTCTACAAATATTGTCAGCTTCTTTAGCTTTAGTTGTTCCTGACTTCTTTGGAATTGAGAACAAATGTGTGTTAAATATATGTTTCTGGCCTTCAGCCAATTGTGCGTTTTTAAATTATGTGTAAATAAGATCATGCTTATATATACATACCCTTTACTTGGAAGAATCAAAAGAGGAACAAATCTTAGCATTTTTTGGTCTCTCATAACCTTCAGCTCTTAGATATCATGAAAGCAATAGAAATAGGAAATTGACACATAGTTACTATTCTGTGCAGGATGAGCTTGTTATTTGTTTGAAGATTTATTTCTTTATTTGAAAGGCAGAGTCGCAGGGACACAGTGAGAGAGTTAGAGAGATCTTCTATCCAGTAATTCACTCCTGAAATGGTGGCAGTGGGCAGGGTCGGTCTGAAGCCAGGAGCCAAGGCCTCCTTCCTGTCTCCATTGTGAGTGTAGGGGTCCCCGGGCTTGGGCCATCCTCTGTTGTTTTCTTAGTTACCTTAACAGGGACCTGGACTGAAAGTAGAGCAGCCGGGGGCACAAATCAGGCACTGCTATGGAAGCCAGTTCTGCATGTGGTGGCTTTACACGCTATGCCACAGTGGGTGGGCCCCAATTGTAGGATAAATTTAAAATGAAAATAATATAAAATCCCTTTTCATTAAGCAGCTTTATAAGCCATTTCCTCCTCCAAATAATTATTCAAACATTTGGAAACTTTTGATTTTTTTTTTGTTTTGTTTTGGTTTATGAAGTTGCTTTCATAGCAGATAATTTGACACAAAATTCAAACTGTGTGTGTTTGCTAATTCTCCACCATCACTTTCCCGTTTCTTGGTTCTTCTATCCTTTTGTTTTCTCTTTGACCTATTGTCTGTCTAGGAATGCCTTGTAGGAGGGCATTCTTTTAAACATCTGGGCTATCCAGTTTGAGTAGTACTAACAGAGCTGTACCTTTGTGTTTGAGCCAGCCGTTGGCTAATAACTCCGCTGTTGCGACTTCTGCGTCCATTTTTTATTCTCATATGGGAATTACATAAAATGATGTGACTTGTGCCATGGGGACTTCTAACTACTGGTTAACGGTTGGGGTCTATACTCTTAAATCCATGCTCTGAGTGTAGGTATACCCTTTCGAGTGAGTGGAGGAAGAACCCAAGTTTGCCTCCCCCCCTGCTCTCCACTCCTTTGCTCTGAGGAACGCACAGTGCAGTTTTCCTTCATGTTTGTTGGCACCAGCATGGTGAACCAGTGTAGTTCTGCCAAAGCTGGGCAAGAAGTCCTAGATCATTTTATCACTAGAGTCAACAAGTAAATATATAAATATAGATTGAGATATTTTCTCTTACATTTGTGCTGTCTCGTTTTTTTGCTGGAATGTTCTTCTGTCTTACACACTTTTATTGTTGTAAAGAACTAACAAAATGGATGAGATGAGTGCTGAGTGTTGCATTAAGGAGGAAAATAGTCATTGTTTCCATCTGTAGTTCTTGTGACTAGTTAACTCATTCTCAAGATCAGAGGTGTTGATGAGCGCCCTTGAGCTCTCATGTCTTACAAGGCAGCATATACTGCTCACGCCAGGCCACTTGGGCCTTTTGTCATCTTGTTCAGCATGTCAGCATGTACACACCGTGCTTTTGGCTCGTGTATTCACATCTGGAGTGCTGCTGTTAACAAGAATAACCCCTTTCTAAACACTGCCGTTAAACTAGAATGGTGCTCCTGTTAGCAGCAACAGTTTTCACTGATGCTTGATGCCCAGATTTTTAGTCTGCACACGCAGGTCTCAGTTCATTATGAAGAAATACAAGCTGGACTTCATGTTTCCTGTTGCCAAGGGAAGAAATTGGTGTCCGTACAAAGAAAAGGAGTTCCTGTTCTTACAACAGAAGTGTAGGGGGTCATTTAAGTTAACAACCTCTGAGTTAAAAATGGATCTTGTTTTAATTTTGTGAGAATAATTTAGTAGTGGAAACTATTTGCTGATCTTTTTAAAAAGGAAAGACACAAGAAGTATAATTGTGATTATGCAGTAGGCCTATTAAAAATCAGTTTAGAATCAGTGAGAACCTTATGAGCTTGGCTTTGTCATGTCACCGTAACTTGTGGGAGAGCGTTGTCCTTATGGGATGCAATAGATAGATACATTATTTTTTCCTTAAATATTTGTTTTATTTTTGGGGGAAGGCAGATATACAGAGAAGGAGAGACTGAAAGAAAGATCTTCCATCTACTTGTTCACTCTCAGATGGCTGCAGCGACTGGAGCTGAGCTGATCTGAAACCAGGGGCCAGTAGTTTCTTCTGGGTCTTCCACATGAGTGCAGGGTCCCATGTCTTCGGGCCATCCTCTGCTGCTCTCCCAGGCCACAAACAGGGAGCTGAATGGGAAGCGGGGCCGCTGGGATGGGAACTGGCACGCATATGAATTCCCAGTGCTTGCAAGGCAAAGATTTAGCCATTGAGCCATTGTGCTGAATGCATGAGTGTATTTAATTTTTAAAGAAAAAAAATCTGTATATTAGCAGTATTTGGTATGTGACAAAAAAAAAGTGCTAGTTATGATAACTTGTGAGGCTGCAGTTTTGGCAAAGCAGGTTAACTCACTTGCTGTCACACATCCCATATGGGTGCTGGTTCAAGCCTCTGCTGCTTCACTTCCTGTCAAACTTCCTACTAGTGTGCCTAGGAGAGTGTCTGGGCACCTGCCTCCAAGAGGCTATTTGAAATTTCTAAGGTTTAACGTTGAAGATACTTGTGTGATTTTTTTTTAACATTCAGCATTTTTGCTAACATTTTTGAAGTGTTTTTTGGGCTTAAAGAAACCTAGAAAACAGAGGAAATGATTTACATGAAATATTTTTAGTTTTCACAACATTACCTGCGTATTATAATATTTTTTTTGGACTTTATAGCATGTCCGTAATATAAGTAGATTCTAGCTCTATTTTCTTTTTTTGTTTCCTCGAGTGGGTACACCACTTCTGGAGGTGCTGCAATACCAAGTCAGTGCGCCAAGTGGACGGGGCTAGCTTTTATTCCAACTCCCTGCTCCAAAACTCCATTTATCATATTGTCGTCAGATAGAGGACGTATAAACTGACAAGAACCGATACTATACTTGATCATAGCCAAGAGGCTGAGGAATGGTAATCTTAATTCTCAGCTTGTGTGTAGATTCCAGTGGCGCTGAGGTGGCTCTGGTATTCCAGCGACAGTAGCTCGTCTGACGCTCCAACACTGGCTAGCTGAAGGACATTTATTTCTCTTGAGGCGTGGACTGGAAGCCTCGTTGAGTACGCTAAGTGATTCCATCTGACCTTCAGAAAATCACTATAGGTTACACTTTCACTTTGCACATATGTCACCAACAAAGCCAGCTGGCTGCAATAAGCTTTTGGAAATAGACGTTTCTGGCTGAGCTTTTGGAAGACTGCATTTTTAAGTGAAAAAATAAGAAAGCCACTATTCACTAGTTACACATCGAAAGTAAATTGACAAAGGAAGCAAGATGAACAGTAAAAAGTTTGCAGTACTAAAATATTAAATTTTGTGTATAACTTCAGTTTGGTCTATTGATAATAGTTACTGTAAGAGGCAACCTCCCTACAAAAAGACAGAGATTTAGAATTAACTTTAGATATTGCAAAGAAAGATGCACTGGTATAGTTTAAGAAAGAAAAACTTTGACATTATTCCTTTAAAAAATGTTGAATCACAGTGGCAGATCGACGGCCAGTTCACTGAGCGAATCTTAGAGAGCGGACATGAAGTACGGCATAAGGGCACTTCACAAAGTTATCGGAAAATCGAAACTGTTGGCTCTGGAATAAACTTGCCTTTACATTCCATTTCTAGTGAGTTTTCTGAAGTACCTTTGTATTTTTGTCCTTTCAGGAGATATGATCCGGGTTGGTGAAAACCCTGAGCTTTGGTCAAAAATCGAGTTGACTTTGTCTGACCTTGTAAGAGCATCCCCTCCTGGCCTCTGGTTTCTTTCACACATTAGCTGTGTGTTTGTCTGATGCTGTTCTGGTCAGTAATGAACTGTCATTTAGAAGTGGCTTAAGCTCCCTGCTGGAGAGCCATTTCTGTAAATTCCGGGTATTATTTTTATAGCATGTGGTAGCTAACTGGCTGGCCCAGAGCTCACGCACCACACATGGCGCCGGGAGGAGGCGCATTTCCAGGAATAGCTACAAGAGCCTTTTGATTGGTCAGGATTTGTCATGGGCTTTCCTTTGTGAAATCCTTTGCAGGGCCTGGCACAGTGGCACAAGTGCGGATTGGGGCTGGGCACACCGAACTGGGCTAGACTCCAGCACCAAGTGGTGCTCTGGAGGACCAGGGTAGGTGCAGGATGAGCTAGGCTAGGTCTCTGCCCCTACTGAGCCATGTGTGAACTGTGTGTGGGTGTGGACAAGTCCTGGCTGGGCTAAAACATCCAACAGCAAGAACCAGAATGGCCAGGCCTGGCGGTGTTGCCTAGCAACTAAAGTCCTCACCTTGAACTCACTGGGATCCCATATGGGAGCCAGTTCTAATCCCCGCAGCCCCGTTTCCCATCCAGCTCCCTGCTTGTGGCCTGGGAAAGCAGTCGAGGATGGGCCAAGGCCTTGGGACGATGCACCCATGTAGGAGACCCAGAGGAGGTTCCTGGCTCCTGGTGTTGGATCAGCACAGCTCCGGCTGTTCTGGTCACTTGTGGAGTGAATCTTCAGATGGAAGATCTTCCTCTCTGTCTCTCCTCTCTGTGTATCTGCCTTTCGAATAAAAATAAACAAATCTTAAAATATTAATAATAAAAGAAGAAATCCTTTGCTAGGCAGCATTAGAAAGACTTACAGAGAGAAGGGGAGACAGGGAGAGATCTTCCGTCTGCTGGTTAACTCCTCAGATGGCCTCAGTGGCCAGAGCTGAGCTATCTTAGGCCAGGAGACAGAAGCTCCTTATGGGTCCTACATGTGGAGGCTTGGGCCCAAGGACTCGAGCCATTTTCTGCTGCCTTTCCAGGCTCTTAGCAGGGAACTGGATCAGAAGTGGAGCAGCTGGTGTATAATCCAGCACCTATATTGGATTCTGGTACGTTGAGTGTAGGCTTAGCCTACTATGCCACAGCACCAGTCCCAATACCTGTAAGTAATTTTTATTTATTTCATTTTTTAAAAGATTTATTTTATTTTTATTACAAAGTCAGATATGCAGAGGAGGAGAAACAGAGAGGAAGATCTTCCATCTGATGATTTACTCCCCAAGTGACTGCAATGGCCGCAATGGCCGGTGCTGTGCTGATCCAAAGCCAGGAGCCAGGAACTTCCTTCAGGTCTCCCACTTGGGTGCAGGGTCCCAAGGCTTTGCACTGTCCTCAGCTGCTTTCCCAGGCCACAAGCAGGGAGCTGGATGGGAAACGGGGCTGCGGGGATTAGAACTGGCTCCCATATGGGATCCCAGTGAGTTGAAGGCGAGGACTTTAGCTGCTAGGCTACTGTGCTGTGCCCATAAGTAATTTCTAAAAAAGATTTATTTGATTTTATGTTTTGTTGGAAAGGCAGATATACAGAGAGAAGTTTGTGGGGTATGCTCTGCGGGACCTGTTCGTGAAATTTTGATAGTTCAACAGTTCCGAATTACTGCCGATCTCACCACTCCATGCACAATGAAATCTCTCCAGAATCCACAGATTGACATAGTCCACCTTAGTCTCTGCTTGCCTGGTTATTCACTGCCAACACTTGGGTGGGATGGTTGATCAATTTGTTTTGTCTCCGTTCTCTATCATGGTACCGTGTGTGCTCTGCAGCCTCCAACGTACTGGCAGATACTTTTTTAATACACACATATGTTGTGTATAGATCTCTTTGGAAATATTACTGTAGTTATTCATTTCCAGCTTCTTTTATTCGTCAACATTTTTAAAAAAAGATTTGTTTATTTTTATTGGAATATCAGATATACAGAGAGGAGGAGAGACTGAGAGGAAGATCTTCTGTCTGCTGATTCACTCCCCAGGTGACCTCAACGGCCAGAGCTGTGCCAATCCGAAGCCAGGAACCAGGAGCTTCTTCTGGGTCTCCCATGAGGGTGTACTGTCCCAAGTCTTTGGGCCATCCTCAGCTGCTTTCCAAGGCCACCAGCAGGGAGCTGGATGGGAAGCAGGACCGTCAGATTAGAATTGGCGCCCATTTGGGAATCTGGCGTGTGGAAGGTGAGGACTTTAGCCACTAGGCTTCCACTCTGGGCCTTATTCCTCAACATTTTAAAAGCGACACCATATTTCCTTTAGTAATAAAGGGTTAATGGTCAGTGGCTAATGTTTCAAGGGAAGCAGAGGGTGCAAATCTTTGAGTTCTTGTTGGTAAGTGGACAGTGAAGGCGGAAACAAATGATCCGTACTCTGTTCTTTGGAGCTTTGGACTGCACACAAGGCAGTCTGCATTTTACAAAGTACTTGGGCCCCAAATGAGAGACCTGGAAGAAGCTCTTCATACAAAAATCAACAAATCTTTAAAAATCATTTGATACCCCTTTTGTACAAATCATGAGAAATCATAGCTCCGTGGGTTAGGTTTTTGGTATAATTATACATTTTTTGAGCGTGTGTGATTGTTACACAGTGGTACTGGTCCTTCTCATTCGTGTGCCGTGCTGAAATGTTTTCATCCTTGCTTTAAATTATGCTTTTGTGTAAGTTGTATACAATTTGAAAAAGCATGGCAAATGACAAAATTAAGATTGCCTTTAATTCTAAAATGTGATAAGTGGTTCTTGATTCTTTTTTTTTTTTTAATTAGTACTTTCCCTTAATTTTGTCTGAATTGCATAAATGTGATAGCAGGTGCTGGGATATCGGTGTGGTGGAAGAAAGGCTTATTTCTGAAGCAGTTATCCGTTTGAGAGCTTATCATTAATTTCCTCTTGTGTGTAAAGCAATTTCTCATATAACACATTAAACCTTTCAGCTGTTCCTACGTGATATATAGCCCGAGTGTGTATGTTTATGTGTGTGTGTGTATGTGAGTCTGTGTATCTGTTTCTAATTTTATAAACAATAAAGTCTAGGTTTGAACAGAAGCCACAGTCTTTGTGGTATAATTGAAAAAACATGTGTTTTGGAGCAGGCAAACATAAGGAAAGTTGTAACTCTCAACCAGTTCATCTGTTTAGAAAACGCTTTCAAGGGCTTCTTCATATGTTCACCCCTAATTCTATTATAATTATTGAATTTGGGAAGGAGAAGCGTTTGTCCCTTGATTTAAACTTTTAGCAGGGTTTAGCAATTAAACATTTCCTGGAATGATGCATGCCATGTGTGTTGGAGAAATAAAGGACACCGAGCAGTAAGTCTTTTCTGGAACACTGAGGTCGTCGCGCAGGTTAGAGTCTTGACACCGATGGTTGCGGTGGTCATTGGTTACATGGAAACGTGAGTGCATTTTTATTTCTTCTGGAACATGCCAGTGCACATTTGACTGATTTCAAGTAGTCAGTGTAATGTTGCCAAGCTATAGATCCATTTGCATGAATTACATACAATCTGCTTTGATTCTTATTTTACTTCAGAGAGGGAACCTTTTCATCATTAACTTTTCATTATTAGCTTTTTTGCTGTCATTATTTATCGTGATTTGTTTTGCTTTCAATATTTATTAAAGGATATTGATTTTCTTGAAGAAAAAACAAGTACCGTCTTTTACCCATCAATTTATGTTATATTACACCTAACATCTTTTTCCTTTTCTCATGAAAGCTGCTGTGTTAAGTATCTGACATCCCCCGATGTGATGTCAGTTAAGAACTGCTGAATATCTTAGAGTGAGATTGTGTTGGACTTAAGGAAAAAAAGGCAGTTGCAGTTATATCTTTTTCTTGTTATAAATGTCTTTTTTTTTTTAAGTAAAGGTTTATTTTATTTGTTCGAAATGCAGAGTTTACAGAGAGAAAGAGAGAGAGGGAGATCTCCCATCTGCTGGTTCCCTTTCCAGGTGATCACAGTGGCCAGTCCTGGGCCAGGCTGAAGCCAGGAAAACTTCATCAGGGTCTCCTGTATGAGTGACAGGGGTCCAAGCACGAGGGCCATCCTCTGCTGCTTTCCCACGCACATTCGTAGGGAGCTGGATCACAAATGGAGCATGCTCATGCTCGTAGGGGATG